ACGATGCGATGCGAATATCAAATTTGAATGTGATAATAGTAAAGCAATGGACACATTAGCCAAATAATTTGGCATAATCGTTTGGCCAGATCAATCGGCGGCGAATTTTATTCGGCCGAATGGGCGGACATACCAGGCGAATCCTTCGCCTGAATCACCAGTTGATTGCATCACCTTCCACATCACATGATCAAACATGGCAGCAACCATGTCTTCAAAGAATCATGTGACTTCTGGACAAGAGTGGATGATGAGTGGTGATTGGTTAATGAATTCTACAATCAGGCAAATTCTTCGGCGAAGCGAACACACTAGGCGAATACAATTCCGCTGAATATATCAAGCATGTTTGAATCGGCCGAATTGCTGTTCAGCCGAATGACAGTGGACGCACTAGGCAAATTTTGTACACCACTTTTCATGTTTGTAAAACATCTGACTGGCAAAATTCTTGAATTCAGAGCTTTGTATTGAACACATCCATAATATTACCATAACTATAATTGATGATACATAATATTACCATAATTATATGAATCATAATACATAATATTTATATCGTTGAATGAATAGAAATCTGTCCGATGATATATCTTAAGCAAATTATAAATAGAAATGTTTTTGTGCTTTTTAAGGTTAAATTTTTCTAGATTTTGATTTAAGGAGGTTGAAGTCTAAATATTTAAAAAACCTGTCAAGATAAGTTTCTCCAGCATTTTAATTAATTTCTTCTACAGCAAACGACAAGATTCACTGCAAACCAACGTGTAAATATTAGTTTTATGTAACAAACTCCATTTATTCATTTTTTGCGGACAAAATGAATATCTCGAAAAAAGCTGGGAACACAATAGAAATATATTTAACATCACAGACTTGATCAACTAGACCCCACAACAGATCAGCCAATCCCTCCCTTCGATATATCAGCCAATCATATTAAAGCTTACTACATATAACGTGAATCGATGAATAAGAAATATACAATGATTGGCTACAAATTTTATCTCTTATTTTTAAATTTCAGACCAAAATTTGTGCAAGTCTTAATGGAGGAGCCTTGCATGCAGGCTAAGAGAAATGGCCCATGGAGACTAATAGGGGATACTTGCTTGACAAAACTGCAATCGTGTGACGCAAATTTAGTCCGGTCAAAGTTCAACAACTGACGTCATGTGAGTAGAATTGTGACGTAATTAAACACAAGCAATATGTTTCGGCTGTCATGGTTGATGGAGATATTTTCGTTGTAGCCAGAAATCCCTCTTTTCACTCAATCGTCAGTATTTTGGGGTTTTGACAGATTTCAATTCCGGAACGTTCAATCGAGTATCCCCTCAGTCGAATAAATTTGCACAAATTCTTGCCAAGAAAAGATAACTCTTGTAGATACAAAATAGAATTTGATTTACACAAACATTTTGTTACATAAACATTATCAGGGTCCTTTATTCAAGAAAATTTAAGCTAAAATATTTAAGAATGCAGAGCTTTCATTGGTGGAAAAGCTACGGTTTGTACAACAGTTTTGACTATCAACCAATGAAACAGCTTCAACCTTAAAACATTTTAGTTTTAAATTTTAGTGAATTCGACCCCTGTAGTGGATATTATTATGATATATACAAATTTGATTAATAATTATTTTTACTACACTGAATGTTAGCGTTACATTAAGGCACTTTAACAAAATACGTAGGAAAAGCTTCAAAGACATATTGTACAAAAAAAAAAAAAAAAACTTAAATTTTATTTTCCTTCAGAAATATACAAAAAATTTTCTTTTATAATATTCTATATTTTTTAACCATAAGATTGTTTTTTTTCTGAATCACAAAACGTTCTCAGACATACATTATGTAAGAGCTAAATCTGCCTATTGGAGGATATTTCTTTAGGCCTGAAATGTTTTCTAAATTATTAATTATACATTAATTAACTTATCAAGGCCATAATCAACTCTCGCTGGCATCGGATTTCTCCGATATTAAATAGATTAGAACAGTTCAGCCATATTTTGATTTAAGCTAAAAATAGAGGAGCGAGACTTAGCTTCGAACAACCAGTACGGTGGTTGAAATTATTGCACATGTCTTGTCAAACCTTCAAACGCTAATATCTTTGCTCGCATTAGAGTAATTTGAATGAAATTTTCAAATTATTCATTTTACATTATCTATTTTTGAACTATTATAGCAAGAATAGCTAGCTCTTTATCTAAATCTTACATAATGTATCTTTAAGTTAAGAATTTACTCAACTTTCAATCACTATTTATGAGTAAATTCTTAACTCAAGTCTGAGAATGGTTTGTGAAACTGGGGCCTTGTTGAATTGGAGAAGCCTAGACTTTATTTTAGTGAGAGCATTGGTCCAAAGAAAAAGAGGATGGGTATCACTTGGGCTCAGTCCCAGGTCAAAAAATAACCCCTAAATTTTAAAGAAATAGCCAGAAATATAAACAATTGTTATATAAACAATTTTGGCAGGTGTTTCTATATTTAGTACTTAGTTTCAAGAAAGAGAGAGAGAGAAATGGGGTTTAACGTCCACTCGACACAAACTAGGTCATTTCAGGACTAACATATGTTTAATTTTATTTCAATAATTCGATTGCGCATAGGGGTCTTTAGCAGTGGGAGGAAACCGGAGGACCCAGAGAAAACCCACGAGGTTGGACAGGCGACCCTACTCCTTGTCATGTACAACCGGGGATTCGAAACCACGCCAGTTGACTCAATGACAGGCCTTATGATACAGCACGCACGTGGTAACCATTCGGCCATCCAAACCCCTGTTTAGTTTCAAACCATTGTTGGCCAACTGTTTAAATCAATTGAGAATCATAGAAAACCATTGGGTTTCTACTGTTGCGTAGTTTAAATGATCTGTCTAGATCAGAGATCATTCAATACGAATCTATGAAGTTACATACATTTCGACTGCCTGTTTATGAACAATATAACTATATAAATCACATTCACGCTAGAGCTTCCCAATACAGGAATATCATCGCAATAAAGATACATGCATTTTCTAATATTATCTTTGACAAGCTATCAAATAACATGTAATAACTCACGATTGGCATATTGTCAATATTTACAGTTAAAAGGCAAGTAAATAAAGATTACATGTACATGTAAGGCCAAAGCAGTATAATTTTGCGTTCTTTCACATCTTCATAAATAAATAGTCAACTAACTCTCGTAAATCATTCAAAAATTTGGAACTAAAGGCTTCTGAAGGAAAATCATATTTCGATTTTTTATTTAGTTTTTTTTCCCCCAGAAATAATTAGAAACAATTTTCTTAACAGGTGTTCGTGAAGAACAAAAATTCAAACAGGTGTAGCCTAAATAAGCATTAATAAAATTATATAAGCTTTGAAATTTTTAATATTTATATTATCTAAAAAAAGCTTTGAAGTTTTTAATATTTATATTATTTAAATAAGCTTTGAATATATTATTTATATTATTAAATAAACTTTGACGTTATTAATATCTATATTATTTAAATAGTATATATATATATATTATTTAAATAAGCTTTGAAGTTTTTAGTATATATATATTATTTAAATAAGCTTTGAAGTTTTTAATATTTATATTATTTAAATAAGCTTTGAAGTTTTATTGGTTTTGAAGTTGTTAATAATTAGATCATATTATGAAACAGAATACTGACAAAATGAAGATTAATACAAAAATTTCTAATAGATCACATGCATTCTTTAAGAATGAGTTTCCAAGCAATGAATATACGTCCACCAGTAGCATTTCTAAGGGTGACTTTCAATTTTTCAGATGCAATAATTGTGGCTAGAATTGATGGGCAAGTTTGATTCCTGGTTAGTCCTTGCAAAACAATCACAGCATGTTAAACAAACTTTGACCAGTAGCGCACTTACAGGAATTATTAATGGATGGGTGGACGGGCGTACAGGAGTGATGACAATATAACTCCATTTCATGTTAAAATTTTTCCTTTTTCTCACGTATATTAATTATAATCTAATCAATAGAAACAGAAACAATTTATAATTTTATAAAACGGCGCCATTTTATCTATCGACTATAGTTGTTCACAAAAATGGTCAATCATCTTTAGACGATCATTTCAACACGAATCGGTCATTCCTTCATTGAGAATAGTTAGAACCTCATCTAACTGTATTACCAAAAAAAATCCCCGAAAATGACTTTTTTTTTGTCTTAGATACAAACAATTGTTTAAATTCGAACCTTGGCTGACGACTGGCTGAAGATAAGCTGATCACGCCCAGAATCGATGTCATGACTACTGAGGTGATACACTATGCGCTTATACAAATAGATTTCTAATAATTAATTCAATTCTATTTTTCAAATTTGAACTTTCTATTTTTTTGTTTTTGAAATGATTATTTTCCTCTTTATCAGTATGCTGCCCGTTATTTGTATATATTAATGTATATATTTTATATATATAAAATTACGTTGAAATAAGAAATAAACACACGTTTATGGCTAACGTTGTCAGTTCTCTTGAACCTCTTCCGGCCATATTGAAACAATATAACATATATATATAGATACTGATATAAATATTATTTATAATAAGCTTAATAATAAATCACTTAAATCAAAATATATTCAGATTCTCAAATAAAGATTTCATTGGTACAACTCATTCTTAAAAATTTCTAAATATGAGGAGAAACTGATTTCCATCCTTTTTTTTTAAATTCATCAAAGCTAAAAATCATCGAAACCTCTTTTAAAATACAAAATGAGTCAATTCTTTTCCATTAAAATTCAATTTCAAATGTTTAAAATAAATTGAGTCAATTTATCATTTTTAAAAAAAATTGAGTCATTTTATCATTTTAAAAAAAAATTGAGTCAATTTATCATTTTTAAAAAAAATTGAGTCAATTTATCATTTTAAAAATAAATTGAGTCAATTTATCATTTTTAAAATAAAAAAAAAAGTTCTGTAAAAAATGCTTTAAAATTCTGAAAATATCTCAAATAAGATAAGATTTGGTTTAAAATGTACAAGCGTCGAAATAAAATGAAAAATCTGCGTCTAAAATTTTAAATACTAACAATCGGACTCAATTAAATTAAATTTTTTAAAAAAATTTTATAAAATGGGATCATGGAAAATTTGGGATTTAAAATATCCGTAATCAACACAAATCATTTTATCTTCGATTTTTCTATTTGTAAACGATGGTCATCTCCTTCGAAACGATTTTAATTTAGTGACTATGGCTGAAAGTTCGGATTTGGGATCAGGAGATCGAGAACTCCATGAAACTAATCGGCACTTTGCGACTTGTGGACACTGTTTACTACTCACGTCCTCTATTGCACAACTATTCTGGACCTGCCAAAATAAGGGAGATAATTCGTCGATCCATTTCTCCAAGTTTTTACCGACCTTCCGAGCATTTGTCAACGCATTTGTTTCTAATCTCTCGTCTTTTGGCACTTTTAACACTGTCCGTAATTCTGAAAAGTCTTTTTTGGCGTAATGTCCGTCGGGACCCGAGTGAGCTTGATGAATGTCGCTCGTGGAAATGGATCTAGCTTGGTAAAACTGGAGCGGGAACACAAGGAATTTCGTTTCTGCTACTAATTTGAGATTCTCCATCAGTCTTACTCTCCAAATTCCGGGTCTCAACGGGGATTTTAACAAAGGATTATGGTTGCCTATATGCGAAGATGCAGGTATTTTTACATCGTAAGATGCGGCTATCACATTAGAAGGATCAATCCAGGCCACTGATATTATGAATTCTGTCCCAGGACCCCAAACATGGCGCAATACCGGCTCGTCATACGGTCCAATAAGCGATGCATAGTTACGGAAAATCAACTCCTTGGGATCAAAGTTTGTGCCGATCTCGAGGGTCAAAAGTCGCCCAATTGAACCAATGGGATTTAACACTGAATAATGTGTTTTCGGATGCATATGAGTTTCCATAGTAATGACCTTTCCAGAGGTCACATCTTCTGCTTGATATAACACAAGTAACCCATGGAAATGATCTGATTCGTAGATTATATTAGCTTCTAGCACTTTGATTGGTCGATATTTACAGGTAGCAAATTGTTCAGCCAATAAGAGAAGTCCTCTCCTCATGAATGAATGATAGGCTGTAAGGTAAGCGTCTCTAGTTTTCGTATTTTTATCCAGATGATGAAACTCATTTTGCCAGTAATTAGATAAAGCTGTCATATCTGAAATACAAAAGATAAAAAAAAAAAATAAATAAATTGGGGGTGCTCTAGTGTGAAGATCAGCATGAGAGAGAGAGAGAGAGAGAGAGAGAGAGAGAGAGAGAGAGTTTAACAACCACTCAACACTAACTAGGTAATTTTGGGACTAACATATGGTCAAATTTTAATTCAATAATTCGCTTGCCTGTAGGAGGGGTCTTTAGCAGTGGGAGGAAACCGGAGGATCCGGAGAAAACTCACGAGGTAGGACCCTACTTTCTTGTCACGTACAACCGGGGATCGAAACCATGCCAGTTGACTCGATGACAGACTTTATGATACAGCGCACACAAGCTAACCATTCGGCCATTTCCCCCACCATGTGCTAGCAGGGAAGTTTGCCTGGATATTAATTGACTACCAACTATCACATGTTGTTTAACATGCACGCCAGGATGTATACATAATCGTGATTCTTTCCTAATCCAAACGACTGGTGTGTTCCTTAACTAGAGAGAGAGAGATTGAGAGAGAGATGGGGTTTAACAGCCACTAGGCAACCCTACTTCTTGTCACGTGCAAGCGGGGAATTGAAACCACGCAACTTCACTCTATGAAAGACCAACTAACACGCCGTAACATAATTCACAAATAAAATGATAAAAATCAAACCTTGTCCATAGTCCCCAAATAAATAAACATCGATGCTATTGATAATTTCTTGATTTACAATTGCTTCAAATTTACGAGCAAAAAACACCGGCTTGTCTTCATAATTCTGAAAATAAAAAATATTACAATGTTTAGATCGTCATATCTTACAGGAGTAAATTGCCTTGGTTTAGGGAAATTAAATGGGGTTTAACGTCCTACTGTTCTGCTCCGACTGGGCTAATGAAGACGGACATACGCCATACAGTGTGCTATGAGGGAAATTTTATCTGGACAGCGGCATTATGGCCTACTCTTATATCGAACTCCAAGGGATCTTATATGTGCACCCAATGTATACACAGGACCTCAATTGTTTGTTTCATCCAAACGCCTAGACAGCTGTCCTTGTCAGGCCCTGCTCGTATACTGGGCTAATAATATAATAATATGGGCATACGCCAGTGTGCTATTAGGAAAATTTCGCCCGGACAGTGGCACTAAGACCTACTCTTATCTCGAAATCCAACTAGCAAGGGATCTTTTACATGCATGCCAATGTATACAAGGGGCCTCAGGTTTTTGTCCCATCCGAACAACTAGACAGCGGACAAGGGAAAAGCACGTCCAAACACAAAGAAATCAAGAAATAATACCCACCATTAGTTTATCTAAATCTGTAGTTTTAAAATCGTTGGGTGAACATCCACACCAATCCACGATGTGTTTATATTGACATTTACAACCCTGTTTACGTCTCCAGTTTGTCAAATGTAAATTATTATCAATTATTTTATCACAGAATTTACTGTTCTGACTCAAAGTATGGAAAAATGACTGAAACATAAAAAAAACAAAACATTTTTTAAACATTTATTATGCAAGAGCTAAATCTGTCTATTGCAGGTCTTTCTTTAGGCCTGAAATGTTATCTAAATTATTAATTAGACATTAATTAACCTATCCAGACCATAATCAACTCTAGATGGCATCGCTAGCCTGTGATCTTTAGTGGCTTATGAGCCAATTTACTGCATAACTTTCCTTCACGATTTAATGATTAAATGGATAATTGAGACTATGCTATTTATCGTACTGACTTTAGTAATGATGATCAAGTCTAGGCGGAAATTTCAATCGCTTAGTTCACGGTTCAGAGTGGATCAATTTGAATGAAATTTTCAGCAAATTACCTTTACATTATCTAGTTTTTAACTATTATAGTGAGAACTGCCAACTTGTTATCGAATCTCCCATAATGTATCTTTAACAAAAGTTTTTGTTATAAGAATTAGGATGACAGATAGACAGCACAGTCCAGTGTACTCATTCTATATACTCATTTATACTAAAATGGAAATATTTTTTATCCAGATATACTTTAAAAACCTTTATTTATTTTTCTAATACTTCAAAAAAATGTTCTAGAATTTAATTTGTATAAGGAAGAAAGTTAATACTGTGAGTTAATGAACCCGCACAGATGTCACCCCTCGCAGTGATTGTAGCAGGCTAGCTGATATTCACTGTTGATCAGTATGAGTCGGTTTTCGTAAGACATTGATGAAATATGCTAAAAATATATCTTCTAATGATATAACATGAAAGGTAAAATTTAATAAACAAAATAAACCAGCAAAAACCAAGTTAGGACCGAGCACCTTTGCTTAAAGCCATCAATAAAACATCAGTTTTTTTCAGACTAACATATAGTTCAGTTTTTATTTACTATGGTTACCTGTGCAAAGCTCTGTTACTATGGTTACTTGTGCAAAGCTCAGGTACATATTTATTTCAATAATTCAATTGCAGGTAAGGGTCCTAACTTAAAGGCAGTGGAAGGAAGCCGGAGCACCCAGAGAAAATCCACCATGTTGGACAGGTGACCCTACTCCTTGTCATGTAATAGCACGGAATCGAGAGAGAGAGAGAGAGAGAGAGAGAGAGAGAGAGAGAGATGGGGTTTAACGTCCACTCGACACAAACTAGATCATTTCAGGATTAACATGTGGTTTAATTTTATTTCATTAATTCGCTTGCACGTAGGGGTCTTTAGCAGTGGGATGAAACCGGAGGACCCAGAGAAAACCTATGAGGTTGGACAGGCGACCCTACTCCTTGTCACGTACAACCGGTTGACTCAATGACAGACCTTATGATACAGCGCGCACACGCTAACCATTTAGCCATCCAACCCCCAGCACGGAATTGAAACCACTCCACTTGACTCAAAGACAGACCTTATGATCTAACTTTCACGCCTTAAACCCTTCAGACACCCAATGATACAAACAAAATAGGCTAAAAGTTTTACCTCCACAGGCAGCAGAGTATATTTAAAGAAGTTTTTTAATCCCCGCAATAATTCATCATCTTGTTGTATGACATATTCAGCTAGTGTACGATATATTCCTATCCAATCACTACCACCATCTAGACGTATCCCAGTAGGCAAAGCTCGCGGTCCCAGACGCCATAAATGATTGTCGCATTCATAAAACGTCTGTTCTAACCCTTGCTTCTGGATAAACCTGAAAAAATTCACAAATACAACACATCAAAATCTTGTAACTCATTTTGAGATGAACACACACACAATTTCTTTTTACTTGTCTTTACTACACTAGGATCTGGAAGAGTTGTTATATAACCTGCGTTCTGGATGATGTGAGGGATTAGCCAATGAAACGGTCTGTTGTAGCGAGTTTTTGGTGTGAGGTGCACGGAACTGTGGGTAATCCACTAGAAACATCAATGCCGATTGGTTAATCAAATGTCTGATGCCATAGGGTCCAAAGCCGCTTGTATGAACACTGATGCAACCTTCCAGTACAACTGATCAGATCTTCATGTAGTAGAGACCATCGAAAGGTATGTGACGTCATCCTTTGATGTTGGTGTACCGTTATTTCAAATAATGGTACAGGCACCGTGCCAAGCATACATTATTCATACTAGTTGAAATTTTGGACACGCGTGACATATTTCATTGCAAAGCACGTGCGAGTGTCTGTATTTTAAGTTGTTTAATGGTCTTGAGCTTAAGACATTGTGTAATATATTGAAACAAGAGCTCAGGACTGACGTCCTTCATGTTGTTTCAATATATTACACAATGTCTTAAGCTCGAGATCATTAAAGAGAGGTAAGTCACATGACGTAAACATGACCTGGTTTAATCGAATTTTTATAGGACATTCCTTCGCAATTACAATGTTTGAGAAGGATTTGAAGCATAATTATGACAAATTAATTAGTTTGAATATGTTTTTGGTCCATATATACCATTAAATCACCCAGTTTGTACGCGGGAATGTATCTTTAAACCACATAGAAGCACCTGTAATTTTATCATGCCTACCTGTGAGTATCGGAACCATGTGATTTAAGGAAACTGTAGCCGTTATATTTCTTTAAAAAATAAACCAATTCATCTATTCTCCTGATAAAATATAAATATTATAAATTATATTTAGCACACTATAAATTTATTCAAATCTCTGCAGTAAAGATGAACATCAATGTTGATTTAAATTGACCAATAATTTGTTTTTTCAATGTCGAAGACTTTGGATGATATTGAATTAGAGATTACGGGGATACTCGATTGAACGTTTCAGAATTGAATTTTCTCAATCCCCCAAAAAGTGACAGGGGGTATTTCAGGCTACAACGCATGTGTCAACAAAATCTGAAAATATCTCAACCAACCATGCAGCCGAAACATATTTGTTGTGTTTAATTATGTCACGATTCTACTCACACCACCTCCGTGGTTGGAACGGACAGAACTGTGACAGGACTGAATTCCGTATCACTTGACTGCATTTCTGACAATCGAGCATCCCCTTAGCTAAAGAATTGTTTCCCCTTGTCAGTGATGCAGGACGGAGGGCCTGACAAGGACAGCTGTTTAGTCGTTCGGATGCGTTGAAATCGAGGCCCTATGTGTATACATTGGCGTGCACGTAAAAGATCCCTTGTGCTACACCATGTGGGTTTATAAAGACAGGCATATATCCTAGCTATTTGCCCAAACAGTGGCACTTTCATCAAATTTTGTTCGATCCCTGCATCAGGATTTTACGACGTGGTTTCCCCTTGGTCAGTGGTGCAGGACAAGGACAGCTGTCTAGCTGTTCGGATGGTACAGAAAACCAAGGTCCTGTGTATACATTGGCGTGCACATAAAAGATCCTTTGGCAGCCGGAATTCGATATAAGAGTAGGCCATAGTGCTGTCGCCCGGGCAAAATTTCCTCAATAGCACACTGTATGGCTATTAGCCCAGTATAGGAGCAGAATAGTAGGACGTTAAACCCAATTTTCATTTCATTTCATTTCACTTTAAACTCTAAATTGATAAATGATATTGAGAGAGAGAGAGAGAGAGAGAGAGAGAGAGAGAGAGAGATGGGTTTAACCTCCACTCGACACAAACTAGGTCATTTCGGGACTAACACATGGTTCAATTATATTTCTATAATTCGCTTGCGCGTAGGGGTCTTTAGCAGTGGGAGGAAACCGGAGGACCCGGAGAAAAACCACAAAGTTGGACAGGCGACCCTACTCCTTGTCACGTACATTGATTTATGATTTAGAGACTTAGCTCCTTTAAACTGTGTAAATAAAGATTAGTAATTACTTGATAGGATAATCACTTTCACTGAGATTAATATAATAATCCCACTTCCATTCTGTGATACCCAGTACTTCCTTCATAAACGATAGATGAGCCTGTAATAAACTTGCTCCACCCCAGATGGTCGAAAAACGCTGACGAGTCAATCGAATATTGTGTAATCTTTTTTCCAAGGGAAGTAACTCTCTAAATAGGTACTCCTCTCTCTGAAGTAATAAATAATGGCATGTCGTTATCAAAACATTTTGTCACATTTTTATAAGCCTACATTTTTTTAAAAGATAGGTTGCCAGGCAACGAAACATACGCCCACAGCAGCTAAATCGTCCGGGCAGTCAACAAGTGTTGTCGCATATTTTTACTTCTTTCGGTAATGAAACATTTATAATACACTCATTAAGTAATTATCAGAAAACCATTAGAATTTGTTTGGTTTTTAATATCATGGATTTAGCTGTTCAAGTCATAAAAATTCATTGAAAATCAATATACTTGTTCGTCTCAAGCTCTTAAACTCTGTGTATCAATCTGAAGTCAATCGGATGATAACTTTAGCCTCTAGAGCGTCCACAAGATTTTTCAAAGTGATCAAGGGCCATAACTATGACAGTAATTATCGAAAATCACTGAAAATGAATAGACTTCTTTGTCTCACGACCTTAAACACTGTGTATAAATTTAAAGTCAACCGGATATTGACTTTGGCCTCTAGAGCGTCCACAAGATTTTTCAACATGATCAAGGGCCATAACTGTGGCAGTAAATATAAAAAATCACTGAAAATGAATAGACTTCATCTCATGACCCTAAACACTGTGTATAAATTTAAAGTCAATCGGATATTAACTTTAGCCTTTAGAGTGTCCAAAAGATTTTTCAAAGTGATCAAGGGCCATAACTGTCGCAGTACTTATCGTAAATCGCTGAAAATCAATAGGCTGCTTCGTCTCATGACCTTAAGCACTGTGTATAAATTTAAAGCCAATCGGATACTAACTTTTGCCTCTAGAGAGTCCACAAGATTTTTTTGAAGTGATCAAGGGCCATAACTCTGGCAATAATTATCGAAAATCACTGAAAATGAATAGACTTCTTCGTCTCATGACCTTAAACACTGTGTATAAATTTAAAGTCAATCGGATATTGACTTTAGCCTCTAGAGCGTCCACAAGATTTTTCAAAGTGATCAAGGGCCAGAACTCTGGCAGTAATTATCTGAAATCGCTGAAATCAATAGGCTTCTTCGTCTCATGACCTTAAACACTGTGTATAAATTTAAAGTCAATCAGATATTAACTTTGGCCTTTAGAGCGTCCACAAGATTTTTTGAAGTGATCAAGGGCCATATTAACTCTGGCAGTAATTATCGAAAATCGCTGAAAATGAATAGACTCCTTTGTCTCATGACCTTAAACACTGAGTATAAATTTAAAGTCAATCGGATATTAACTTTAGCCTCTAGAGCATCCACAAGATTTTTCAAAGTGATCAAGGGCCATAACTCTGGCAGTAATTATCTGAAATCGTTGAAAATCAATAGGCTTCATCGTCTCATGACCTTAAACACTGTGTATAAATCTAAAGTCAATCGGATATTAACTTTGACCTGGAGAGCGTCCACAAGATTTTTTTAAGTGATCAAGGGCCATAACTCTGGCAGTAATTATCGGAAATCGCTGAAAATCAATAGGCTTCTCCGTCTCATGACCTTAAACACTGTGTATAAATTTTAAGTCAATCGGATATTAACTTTGGCCTGTAGAGCGTCCACAAGATTTTTTGAAGTGATCAAGGGCCATAACTCTGGCAGTAATTATCGGAAATTGCTGAAAATCAATAGGATTCTTCGTCTCATGACCTTAAACACTGTGTATAAATTTAAAGTCAATCGGATATTAACTTTGGCCTTTAGAATGTCTACAAGAATTTTTGAAATGATCAAGGCCATAACTCTGGCAGTTATTATTGGAAATCGCTGAAAATCAATAGGCTTCTTCGTCTCATGACCTTAAACACTGTGTATAAAGTTAACGTCAATTGGATATTAACTTTGACCTCTAGAGCGTCCACAAGATTTTTTGAAGTGATCAAGGGCCATAACTCTGGCAGTAATTATCGGAAATCGCTGAAAATCAATAGGATTCTTCGCTTCATGACCTTAAACACTGTGTATAAATTTAAAGTCAATCGGATATTAACTTTGGCCTCTAGAGCGTCCACAAGATTTTTTGAAGTGATCAAGGGCCATAACTCTGGCAGTAATTATCGGAAATCGCTGAAAATCAATAGGCTTCTTCGTTTCATGGCCTTAAACACTGTATATAAATTTAAAGTCAATCGGATATTAACTTTAGCCTCTAGAGCGTCCACAAGCAATTGTGGACGCCGGACGGACGGACGGGGGCGACGACAATATACGACCACATTTCAATGTGGGCGTATAAAAAACAATAAATACTTACAGAAGCTAGATTTGAGAACAGGCAGAAACTTTCAGATAACCTGTCCATTTAAGGGGGAAGGCTATCCGAAAATTTTTATTCTGAAATGTTAATGCTATTGAATTGAAAATAGTACAAGTAGTTGGGAAATGTTAATGTTAGTTTTCCCTTGTTTATTACATTTCCTAACTACTTGTGCCATCTTCAATTCACTAGCTTTAGAATTTCAGAAAGCATTTTTCGGGTACCCTCACCCTTTAAGTGTGGACGTACTATCTTTAGATATTGAGCAAACGCAGTGTAGCACTATGCAATTCGGCAATCAGATCAACCATGTACCACCATGCAGTGCTATGAGTCGCTGGTTAGATGTGGAAAGTATGTCCCAAAAAAAACCCATATCCGATGTTTGACGCATGCTCTCTCCTCTGCTACATATTTTATTAAACTTGTGATCGTCTAGTATTGTCTCTGGTTATTTTTGTAATTCTTTACTTTATGGTTAGGACGTATCTCGACACAAACTAGTTCATTTAGGACTAAGATATGATACAATTTTATTTCCATGATTCGCTTGCACGTAGGAGTCTTAATAGCAGTGGGAGGACCCGTAAAAAACCCATGAGTCACGCACAGCTTAGGTTCTAAACCACCCCTGGTAAAATATAAAAAGCTCACATGAAGCTGACTAATTTGCCGAGAGCTAAACTCAAAATAACCCATGACTATGAGATTACCTGTCTCCCTCATCAAGTAAATATATACTAATCAGTCTGGATAATGTAACCTACCTTATCTACATGTATATAATAATAATGATCAGGATGATATACAGCTCGTATCAATCGAATGACCTGACGTATCTGTCTACCATTAAACGTGAGAATAAAGACGATTTTAACTGGTGGTTTGTCAGCGACAGAATCTTTGCTTGCTAAAGTTGATGGATTTTTTAATTTAGCTGGAAAAAAAAGTTGATACTAATCCAATTTGTTAAATCTCGGACAGTATAGTAAGTTTAGTACATTTAATTGGTTCTACCATTTGTCCACAAATCCCAGCTTTCATTCACTTCAAGGAATATGAAACTTTTTAGCATAATGCAATCTTTAAAATTCATTGACTCTAAACCAGCTAAACCGCTGATATTTGGGACCTAGAAATGGACAAAAATTGGTCGCAACGCATATAATGGTGTAATATGAATGTATATAAACTGATTTACATTCAATCGTTTCTTAGTTTATACAATATTTTATTCATTTGAAAAGGATTGAACAACAATTTCTTATCTGTTATGTTCGGTGAAATATGCCTGAAGTCTCAATCGAATGGCAATCTCTAGCGTCTGGTTATTCCAGTCCACACCGATAGTATTTATTGCGCATGCTCTCCAGATAAGAATATGGGGTCACCGTTTGACATGACTTGTGGGATATGTCTAGCCTCATTCTTCGAATTACAAATGGCAATGAAATGTTTATTGTATATCAGAAACCCATCTTTTCCCGGGAAGATCACACCATGAATGTTGATTTAAATTGACAAATAGTTCGTGTTTTCAATGCCGAAGACTTTGGATGATATTGAGTTAGAGACTTAGCTACTTAAAACTAGAAATTTGATTATTTCTTACCTGGTAAACCAGTACTAAATACTCTCATGGTGAGATAACCTCCACATGTAGCATATTTATCACCTGGACAAATCGTGTCACATCTACCTTCCTCTACTTTACCATGGCGACCAAATTTATCATCACACCAACATTCACGACCAAACTGTAATCCTGCATACTTTAAACCTACAACAGATAGAACACTTTTTAACACTTCAACATAACAATAAAACCAGCGGTTGCCAGGCAACATACGCTCTCATTTTGCAATAGATGGACAGAGGAAGTTATGGTCGGGAAAATACCAATTTCGAAAAAAAAACAAGCTCTACATGTCAAGTTTTGTCAAAATCAGATAAAAACTGTGACCTGTATAGTGTTCGCAAACATATTGTGGACGAACGTTCGGACAGACAGGGGCAACGACAATATACATGTACGTTCAATTGAAATCGTGGGTGTATAAAAAAGTCAAATAAGAACCTTTGCCTGACAAAGCCTGAATTTGAGACTGATATTTTCAGGCTTCCACATATGATTATCAAGTTGTTGTTGTGAACTCGGCAAGAATATGTGCAAAATGATGAAGATTGTATCAAATGTGAGTTCACTTACCTCCCTTTGTACAATGGTCGATACAAGCTTGCGGGGAATTCTTGATTAATTCTTTAAAATGTTTTGGCATATCACGATCTGTCTTGTTGTCCTGGAAACATCCAAAATACGATCCTGTTGTGTTCGCTGAAATAATACAAAAGGAATAATGAATAAAGGGTAATTACTATAAATGTCAAGGACCCAGGTTCAGTTAGTAAGGGGGTGTTGGATGGCCGAATGGTTAGCATGTGCACATTGTATCATAAGGTCTGTCATTGAGTCAACTGGCGTGGTTTTAATTCCCTGGTTGTATGTGACACCGTGCAGGGTTGCCTGTTTAACCTTGTGGGTTTTTTCCGGTTTCCTCCTACTGGTTTAGATAAAATTGAACCATATGTTGGTTCCAAAATGACCTACATGTAGTTTATGTCGAGTGGCAAGTGACAGGACTTGCGAGTTATGATCATATGGCAAGTGTGAACAGGATTTTGTTATAATTAAGAAATCTGTGAGCTGTGATGATGTGTCAAGTGTAAACAGGACTTGAGATAATATAACCAAGAAATCTGTGAGTTGAGATGAGGTGGCAATTGTGAACAGGGTTTTAGTTATAACTAAGACATCAGTGACAGAACTAATGTGCCAAGTGTGAACAAGACTTGAGATATAATTAAGAAATCTGTGATGATGTAATTCGGTGGCAGTGTGAACAGGGCTTGAGTTGTGATGATGTGTTCTATTAAATGTCATGTATTAACAATGATCTAAATATAGTCTGTTATAATGGATACAGGAAATTACCTTGTTCTATAGAATATTATTACATTAATACAATAATTATATCTACTCAAAGGCTCTCTCTCTCTCTCTCTCTCTCTCTCTCTCTCTACTAGGTGGTATATATCAGTTTTTGAAACAAAAGGCAGTGGGGGGGGGGGGGGAGAGCTTAATAAAACTGGTTCATTCAAGGGTGTTAACCTGAAGCTCTGTTAGGATTAATCAATTTGAATAATTTACGGACTAATATAGTTTTAATGAGGCTACTTTTTCTTTATTGTGGTTGCCTTTTATTCCAGAAAATTGGTTCTATAAGAGCTATTTGAATATATATAATTAAACATAGACCTTTTATTCTACCAGGGTGGTTGGATGGCCGAATGGTTAGCATGTGCGTGCTGTATCATAAGGCCTGTCATTGATTCAACTGGTGTGGTTTCGAATCCCTGGTTGTACATGACAAGGATTAGGGTCGCCTGTCCAACCTCGTTGGTTTTCTCCGGGTCCTCTGGTTTCCTCCCACTGCTAAAGACCCCTACGCGCAAGCGAATTATTGAAATAAAATTAAACCATGTTAGTCCCGAAATGACCTAGTTTGTGTCGAGTGGACGTTAAACCCCATTTCTCTCTCTCTCTTTATTCTACCAACTTAAACTTAGACGTATTATTTCAGAATATTGGATCCAGACCCGTTCGAACATGATTAAATTCAGACCTATTATTTCAGAATATTGGTTCCGTGGTACATGTATCTGTGTGAATTTACCTAGACCCTTTATTCCAGAATATAGACCTAAACCTATCGTATTATTCCATAATATTGGGTCAATAAAACTTGTTTGAATATCATTGAACAGAGACGTTTTATTGGGTCTATCAGCCCTTTGTGAATACAAGTAGACTAGAACATATAACTGTATTTGTAAACCAATTAACAACAAGACGGTAATAATTGTTAACATTATTTGTTAAAGACAATTTAAATATTTACAAGTTGGGTGGAAATCAGGCATGTGAATCATAGGGCTATTTCTATTCTACAAATGATTCATATTGTCAATATTCACTATAGATTTTTAATATCGCGACAATCTTAGTGACATTTCCGAGGGACAGGGATTCGGACAGGATGGCTTATTTTTTCTAGCAAATGGAGTATGTTTTCAAACAGGTCTAACAAATGGCATATTTTTATCTAAGCAAACAGAGTTTTGTAGCAGATAAAAAAAAACCAACACCTCCTTCCCCTTTACACCCCCTCCTCCCGGAAATTAACCCCACACAGATTCTGTATTTTTAGCTGACTTTGCCATTTAATTTCTAGATGTATCTTTTTATTTTTTTTTTAAAAGTATCTTTTTATTTCTTTTAAAAAAAAAAAACAAGTTTGAATCTGTCTAGAAAAACCATGTACTTTCCAGCAATCCAACCTCCTGAGTTTTCTCCGGGTTCTCCGTTTTCCTCCCACTGCTAAAGACCCCTACGCACAAGCGAATTATTGAAATAAAATTAAACCATATGTTAGTCCCAAAATGACCTAGTTTGCGTGGAGTTGACGTTTTTCTCTCTCTCTATTCTCTCTCTCTCTCTCTCTCAAACATCATCAACTGAGAAATAGCAACTCTATTAATACTTCAGGAATATTTCCATGAAATCAAAAATTATGAACTCTTAGAAACCTTAAAGTAGCAAAAATCACAATTACTCTAATAATTTGATATGTGGATAAAATTTCATCAAGACAGCTTGAAAGGATTATGGCATATGTTCCGGAAACAAAATCATAATGGAAGGATGAAAAGAGACCATTTTAATATCACTCTCTTTATTTCATTCAGCTCTTGATAAAATAAAAAAAAAAACAATCTAACACTTCATAGAAAACATGTAACACTTTGGTCCTTAAGACAATATTGGTTCTTTGAAAAATTGTTGCTTCACTCTGTCTATAGAGTCAAATCGCATGTACTTTTAAAATGAACGTGAATATATAGTTATACATAAAAAACAGTGATATTTTGGTAAAATCATAACCATTGTCAAGACATCCATCAAATTCTGTCTGTTAATTGACCTATGGTTGGTAGACCAAATAAGGTAATGTTTCCTCCTTTGGTCTTGTGAAATAAAGAGGTTTATTCCATATTTGGGATGGAAATTAATGTCAAGGCTAATCTAAGACGTGCAGAAATTAGGGGGTTATAAAAGAGGGGGTTATAAAAGAGGGTGTTGAGCGAGACTGGGCAGAGCTCACCCAGGTATTCCAAGCAGCTAATATTATTGAGAACGAGGAACCTTCAAAGCAATTACAGCTTAACAATAAAGTTGTAAGAACCATTTAACCTGTAGTGTTATATAATATTATTACGATCATGAAGAAAACAAACACAACATGGAAAGAAGTCCGATAGTACTACAAACATTATCTTTTTTCGTTATTCCCTGGGTAAAATTATATTTCTTCTCCAACAATTTCTCAGCACATTTCTTTCCACTTGTCAAACCTATTTATTCATTCAATCACCTAAATAAACATTTCATCCCACAAAACAAATTTACAATCTTCTAAGAAAAACTAGAATCTACTTACGTCTCATAATTCTAGTTAAAACTTGCAAACTGTGTTTATTGGCAAGGATTATTAAACTTTTTAAGCTAACAATTTTTGCCTGTATTGTTTGCAAAGTTATAAAAAGCATTTCTTAAAACAAACAAAAATTTGTTGCAACAAAATCAACTGTCAAATTATGGGTTTATCTAAAATGACAAGACTTCTATGACCGCTATAGCATTAACTTGTTAAGATGACAATTTTTGCCTGTTTATTGTTTGCAAATTTAAAAAAATCATATTTTAAAACCAAAAAATATGTTGCAACAAGATCAATTGTCAAATTATGGGTTTATTTAAAATGACAAGACTTCTTTGACCACTATAGGATAAACTTGTAAAAATAACAATTTTTGCCTGTATTGTTTGCAAAGTTATAAAAATCATTTATTAAAACAAGAAAAATATGTTGCAACAAAATCGATCAACTGTCAAATTACATGTTTATCTAAAATGACAAGTCTTCTTTGACCACCATAATTATAATTTTTTCATGTGTTAAGTTATATTTATAGCACAGCTTTCATGAGTTAACAGGAGGCCGTAGGCTGAGGTGTTAAACCTGTTAACCAATGAAGTGTGCTATAAATGACTTGTAACATTGACACCTGCTCAACATGCTCGTTTTTATTGCACAGAAAACCCACCCCTCTTCTCTATATGGTTTCTACTAAAACTAGTGTAAATCAGCAAAAGAGTGCAATAACATTGAACATGTCTAGTTATTGCACGGTTAAGCTCCAACCAATCTACTAGCGGGAAAACAATCTGCTTATTCAACGAAAAGAACAATGGAAGATTTCCCGTCCATGTTACAATTAGTTTTGTGAGAAGACATATCCTGTCTTCATGTTGAGAATATTATATCAATGGATCAACCTATCCTTGAAGAGAGAGAGAGAGAGAGAGAGAGAGAGAGAGTTTAACATCCACTCGACACAAACTAGGTCATTTTGGTACTAACATATGGTTCAATTTTATTTTAATGGTTCGCTTGCGCGTAGTGGTCTTTATAGCTGTGGGAGGAAACCGAAGGACCCGGAGAAAACCCACAAGGTTTGGACAGGCGACCTTACTCCTTGTCACGTACAACCGAGGATTCAAAACCACATCAGTTGAATCAATGACAGGCCTTATGATACATCGCGCACGTGCTATCTGTGAAGAATAACCAATTTCATGTGCCACTGGAATCCAGTAGGGTATGCGTGGGGGGTGGAAGGAAAGGGGGTGGGGTTTGAATCTGGGATAGTTTTGCTTAGATATAGTAATTGTACAGCTGGGAGTGGTTTTCAACGAGTTTTGTTCACAGACAGCAAGTTCTTAAAGACACGATGCCACTCAGCAAACCTCGGCAGATTTCGATACCCTACATCTAGCCTCGGCTGTATGACGATAAGTGATATGTACCTACGCCTATACAATTGCGATGCGGCACGGATTTACTTATTAGCAAAACTTGCCGCTTTTAGAAAGAAGTTCTCATAATTGCGTCGTTTCGAAGAGTGTGTAGAATTTTCAGTGCAAACTTGTCATTGTCTAAAGAAAATCGGATAAACTTGAGAGAAAAACACAAACTTGTCCTTGTCTAAAGAAAATCGGATAAACTTGAAAGAAAAACAGCTTCAGACATTGAAATATTTGTATGATAAAACATTTTTCAAAGGCATTCTTCAAAGGCGTCGTCATGGGCAACGCCGTTGGTAATCGGGGAACTTGAAAGTAGTTTCAATGGCGGACTTTGTCATACAGCCAAG